CTTAAAACGTTTGCAAGATTTCAGAGCATTCAATTTTGCAGTTTCAAAGTTAAATTTGGAAAATGTTATATGTCTATGGTAAAAACTGAACACGGATTCATAAACCACATGTGAAGGATTGTCTTATTTTAAAAATGGAAATTTCTAAGATGACGTCATCCCATTATTGGTGAGGATGTATACCCAAATTTTGGTTAACGTTTTACAATCTACATGATATCAATCGGCCCAGTAGTTTCGGAGATTATCTGTCTAACAAAGATTCGTACAGACAGCAGACAGACAGACAGACAGACGGAAACAGGAGACCTATTTGTTCGTCCTCTAGGGGTCGCTTACGTTCCAGAAGTAAAAATTTCAACACCTGGGACACATTTTAAGTCTTGATTATGTGAAGATGAATGACAATAAACGTTCTTGGGGGCGGCTGAAGTAGAAACTGAAATAATCATGTTGAGTCTGAGCTTTGTTACTAAAAATCCATATCGATTTCTGTTCTTGAATTTTTTTTTGTTAATTTCTCAACCTACGTTAAGTTCTCAAAAACAAAAATATGTATATACTAAACTGTTATAAGCAGACGTCTTCTTAGTTTCAGTATTATGGTTTCAATTAATTTAGATTCACATCCAAGAAAAAGTTCCTTTTGCTTTCTTTACCATTTGTTCTTCTATTCGATACCTTTATGAACACCAGATCTCTTAATTAACCCAAAAATATTAAACAATTATCAATTGTTGCAAAAATTGGCAAATTTAATTTTCATTTTGCCGTTTACAAAGTGAATTCAACAAAGTCGGTGTAGTAATTAATTTTACTTATATTAGTTATTTTTATGCAAAAATATATTGTACCCATGTGTGTAATTAATAGAGTGTGTATTTTACTCTTCATACAATGCTAATTTTGCTTATTTAAATTTTTTGCTTAAAAGAACGTGTATATAATTCTGGACTGTACCAATAAACACCAGTTTCATATAATTTTTAAGTACAATTAAACTAAAAAACCGTATCCAATGTTCTTGCCGAAGTTTTCCCAAAAAAACTGATATTTTCACCTAATTTCGTCACCAATATAATTTAATTAGTGGAAAATCCAGTTCTAATTTATCTTAAAAAGCTGCATATAGTCATCAACGCTATCTAACGGAATTCAGAAAAGTTAGGTTAAGTTTTACTTTTGACACGTGTTAAATCTGTCGTTTTCGGTGATCATATTAAATTTAAGTAACTTATTTTATTTGTCTTATTTATACGTCTTAATCATCACGGTACAACCATGTAACTGTTCAAGAATACAGTAATAAAAAAAAAACAAGCAGCTTAACTCGACAACTTTACATAATATCAAAAACTTCTGAAGTTAACTGGTTCATCAAACGTTTCTTAATTTAACACAACCACATTACTTTTAATGACTTAATGTCCTTATTAGAACTTATTTTTCTTTATTTATGAACTAAATTCGATTACTCTAGGTTTATAAATAACAAAAACATTCGAGGTGCGCCCTTTTAGCTGACTCGTCACTTTCTTAAACAAATTTAATACAAAATTATTTTTTTTAACTAATTTACACACCCTGTGTCAACAGTGAATAGTTGTTCAATAAAATAAGAATCACTAGTTAAATTAATAATTTTTTGAAAATATTTCAGGCTGAACCCACATTAAATAGTTTTCTATTTTTAATTGTTTTAGAGCTGTGCTTGAATCTGCTTAGACAGAGCTAAATATAAATCATCTCCTGCTGTTAATTTATTGTGCATGAAATTGGTCACTGTGACAGACAAAACGTAAGATTTTCATTAATAAAAGAAATATCTACACTTGGATCCCTTACATTAAATATAAGATTATAATTTGCAATTTTGTTTTGTGTAACCCTCATATAGTAAAAAATTTGAAATATATTTAAAGCAGAAAACCAACTGGAAAAAAATATTCCCAATTTTCCAGTACATGCTTAACTTCGACTGTTTATGTTTATACTTCGAAAGAATTCGACTATTAGCATGTTCATACTAAAAACTTCAGCGGCAATAATATTGTTTTACAATTTTTTCCCCAAAAATCTGGACGTCGAAGGTAAAAACTCAACACGGATTCATAAACCACAGGTACAGGAGTATCATATTTTACAAAATTTAAGTAACATTTACTCTTGTAAATTTTGCTGGTGGGGAAAACGCGACTTTTTCGTACACTAGTGGTCACGAAATGTAGAGAAAACATGAAAGTATTATATTACTATTACAATACTTCCTTAGCTTACGCTCGAGAAGTAAAAATGTCATTCGATTTTTAACTTACTTTTAACACATGAACAAATAAACCTTCTTACCTACCAATTTGCCAATCGATAAGAATCTTCTTCAAATATATGCAGTATAACTTACATTACTTAAGCTATTTTAAAATTTTCTTAACTTTAACCATTTTATCATAAACTAAGGGCTTTATAGACTCATACGTTATGATTATAATTCTTTATAGCATCACTATACACATTTTGAAGAAGTGACTATTTTTCTAAGCGCTTTTTGCCTTCTATTCTTTCAGATTACAACCCAAATTGGGATAACAGAATATTAAATCGCAAATTCTGTAGTATTATTGTTTTTTAAATTAATTTCAGGGGACAGACGACTTGAAATCTGTCTTGAAAACATTTTAATTACCACCAAAAATTACACTGTTAAAAATAAATTTTAAAATAAAAAAAATGTGACGTGTTGCCAATTTTAACCTTTACAATCTCATTTGTTACACTTTCCACAAGGTTAAATCTTTGACATTAATTTTTCAGTTATTCACTTAAGGCCCAAAATTACCAAATAATTGTGAAAATTTTTCAGTAAAAATATTTGGCTTAACTCAAATTAAAATTTAAGGACATAACGATTTACTGAGCTTGTGGTCACAGACTTACCAATACAAGTAAACGCATTTAATTAAGAATTACTTTTCATTCGTTAAATGGGAGTTGTTCGAGCTGCAGTGAGTGAATAAAGCATACATAATATTATTATATTAACTTAAGTAAAAGCATTCTTATTTAACTACTTTCGCCTTTTTTTTGGTAATACATTATATGTATGTATTATCAAATTATGTCAGAAATTTTTAAAAAATTTTGGGTTATTTACTCAAATAAAATTTTAAAAATGATCTAGGTACATTTGAACAATACATGTTTTGCGACCTATTTTAGTAGATAAATGAGAAAATTATGGAAGATCTGTTGGCGATTGATACCATAGCGAAGTACCGAAATTTTACTAGCACATTCTTTGAAAAAACTAACCCGAAAAATCGAAGAATTTAGAGTAAAAGTAAGAGTTAATCAGTTTATTCTTGGAAGAGATAAAAGTGGCAATTTTTTTAGAAAATTTTTATACATATTCAAAAATTTCCAAAAATTATCGCCTTCTGTTCTGCAATTATCAACATTCAAAAAACTATCTTGAAAAAAATTTAAAAATACAGAAAAACTAGTAAAAATTCTTCTTTGCTTTCCAAGAATACACAGAACTAATACAAACATGCAACTACTCTTTTTTTATTATTATTATTATTATTTTTGGACGCATGGTTTCAAAACGGGGCGAACTTACCCTAATAAAAACATGTTCTATTTACTTAATAAAAAATATATAGTACCTTAAAAAAGTAATGCTTTGGTGCCAATTATTAGCTATTAAAAAAGAACAGGATTTTTTTACCATGGAAATTAAAATCATACATTACAGTTCTTAAGTCAGCGTGTTTAGCTCTTCCGCTGTTTCACTAAATTTATTTATTATTTTTTTTACAAAAAACAGCAAGGTTCATCGTTTTCGAAGCATTAAAAATGTATTTTCTGTCGCAAAATCTATTGAGACTCTGAATATCCACAATGAATCTTCGTGTTTTCGGGATTTGTTGAGGCACAAAATGACGATGTTGCTATCTCGTGTATTTACAAAGATTTCGTCTATTTATACGAAAACGGTAACTTCAAGTAAACAAAGCGTTGCAAGGTTAAAAAATTTGTAAAACTGCGAGTTTATGCACGTTCAAGATTTCTTGTAAAATGTAAAACTGAATATATGATTAAGATTTTTGTATTATTATAATAGTCAAGGAATATGCCAGTCAATGTTTTTTCTTTTGAACGAATTCGCGCATATTCAGTGACGTCAAAAATGAACGAAACTCATAAAAAATTAAATCAAAAATCAATTTGATGAATAGACTTTGCAAGTAAAAATCTTGATTAAGTCTGTATATCAAAATTCACTTACAAGTGTCATTTTTTTTACATAAGACCTAAATATATATATATATAGTAATAATGTACAGAAAAACTAACAATTTACACTTTCAGACAATGTGCTGTAAATAACGTCGTTCCACTAAAGTAAACACACAACAGTTGCCAGGTCATTCGTTTTGATTGTAAACAAGTAGAAAATAATCCCGTGTTGTACACATATCCAAGTGTAAAGTTATACATAGAGTTTGCATCATGTGGAAGATCAGCGATTTGACCGACGATGAATCGGTCGAAATCAGCTTGGAAGTTCCACACATGCAGGTGCAGTTTATTAAGGAAAATATGGGGTTTCATACTTCACTGTCTGAAGCATCACAATCCACTTCACTTCCACCTCAAGTTCTTGAGATTGAGTCAACACTCGAAACGAACATACCAGAAGTGAAAGAAAACGTACTCATATTATGTTCCTTTAATAATCACAGCATGTATTTGGTTTAACATAAACAGTAAGACTAGACTATCAATACGAGAGCATCTGTGCATGACTCCTTGCAAGAAAGCAGTTCTGCCAGTCTCAGTCTAATCTCAGTCATGTGAAAGAAAGTGAGTTTTGGAAAATCCGAGCGAACAGACGCCCTACCAAACCCCCGACACTGCACTATTACACCTTTAGAAACGCAAACTCCACTCAGAACCACCCGCGCTAGACAATCGAGGGCAAATAAAAGGCTACTGACCACGTAGTCCTGCGTCTCCTGCTCTTTGGCAGTCAGCCGCCGCATCAACACCCGCTCCCGCTGCTGGGACTCGCTCAGCTGGGTTCTGGTCCGGTCCGCGGTCTGGCGCAGGTCCTCCAGTTCGCCTGCAAGCACCAACACGTTACCACGCACCGCACTGCACTGCACCAAACAAACAGGGTGCACTCAAACACGCTAAGACTAAGTACCTTCCTGCTGGGCGAGGCGCCGCTCCAGCGCCGCGACGTACGCGTCCTGCTGCCGCCACCGGCTGCTCCAGTCGGCGGGGCCGAGCGCCGCCATCTCGGGCTCGCTGAGGACGACGCGGGCGGGCGGCGGGGGGCTGGGTTGCGCCGCCTCCGGCGTCTCTGCCTCCATGCTGCAACGAAACGGGCCGTGCTCGGCGCCATTGTGGGCGGCATGTCTGGGGCTACTTACGCGAAAGGGCTGGGCTGGGGCTTCACGAGAGGAACGTCCTGATATCTAAGCGCTGGATGGGGGCGGTGGGCGCAGGCATCTGAAATCAACACGGTACGCGGCGGTTGCAGACGAACACGGAGAAAAACGACGCCATTACGCACTGTGTGACATTGGAGCGGTCGGTAAGGCAGGGGCCGGGACGGATTTACCGGCGGGGCACGGTGGGTTGCATCACGGGTTACGCACGAGGGCATAATAAATGGCGGGAGGTTTCTGCTACACCTACACCCCACACTTGATAAATTATATTCAACTTTAAAAAGTAAACTTAAATACATGTGTCTGTCACCATATTAACGCACCAATAGTAACAGTTTCATAAAAAAATTATTACGTAACTGTTTGGTTGGTTGCATAAGTATACTCCATAACTAATCGTATAATAATGCCAAGTACACACTAGATCGTAATAAATGCGTATGAAAAAATTATCAACACTGCACAGTGGGACAAAGCCAAAAATTTCTACTCAAAATTGAAAATCAATGTGAATCCGTTAAAAAACGGTATGAAAGTTTAGTCTCACTTGAAACAATTTATTTTTTATTTCATTGCTCAAAAAAATTCAAGAAAGTCGTATCTTACACCTTAACAACAAAATACTACGCACTGTTAAAAATAATTTAAGGCAATTTTAAGGGATGGTCCACAAGGAATTGTACAATTTTAGTCTTTAAATTTCTAGTATATGTATTTCTAATGAAGTACTAATTAATGAGATATCGAGGAACGCGCGCTTAACTCACCCTGTATATTTTTTTCAAATGCACAATAACAAAATGTAAACAATTCAACCGTTGAAACAAAACCTCGAAGTGTCAACGATGTAATTCAGTTTCTAAAGTTGGATCGTCTTTAAGTTGATCAGTTTGTAAATGTCTGTCTCCTTTGCATTTAATTGGCACTAAGTATATTTTAAACTGAAAATCAATTTCTTGTTCAATCAATTTTTCGATTTTTCGAATTTTCGATGTTCGATTTCTCCACTTCTCGATTTTTCACTTTTTCAAATATTCAATTTTTCATCTTTCCACTGTTAGAGTTTTTAAAATTATGATTTTTTGATTTCTCAATTTTTCAGTTTTGAGATTTTTTAATTTTTCGATTCTTCGATTGTTCGATTATCAGTTTATCAGTTTTTCGATATTTCAATTTAGAAATCTTTCAGTACTTCGATTTTTCGATTTAAATTTTCTGGTTTTTCAATTTTTTGATGTTTCAATTTCTCGGTTTTTCAAGCTTTCGATTCTTCAATTTTTCGATATTCAAGATTTTAGATGTTTCGATTTTTCGATTTTTCGATTTTTCAGTCCTTCGATTTTGCTATGTATCAAATTTTCCAATTTTTCGACTTCAATTTCAGTTTTACATTTTTTTTCTTCTTAAAATTTTTGATTTTTCGATTTCTCGATTTATCGATTTTTCATTTTTTCAGTTTTACCATTTATCGATTTTTAAAATTTTACAATTTATAAGGTTTTCGATTTTTTAAATGTTCGATTTATCGATTTCTCAATTTTTCAATGTTTCAGTTTTGAGATTTTTCAACGTTCCGATTTATCAGTTTTTAAATTTTAGATTTTCGATTTTACATTTTTCGGTTTCCGATTTTTTAATGATTCAATTTCAGTTTTTCGACATTTTAGATTTTTCAATTCTTCTATTTTTCTATTTGCCAGTTTTTCCAATTTTTAAATTTTAGATTTTACAGTTCTTTGATGTTTCGATTTCTCGATCTTTAGATTTTTTGACTTTCAATTTTTCAATTTTTAGGTTTTTCGACTTATCGATTTTTTTAAATTTAAATTTTTTTAATTTTTCAATTTTCAACTATTTGACTATTTCATTTTCTCAATTCTTCCATTTTTTGATTTTTCGAGTCCTCGATTTCTCTATTTTCGATTTGTCGATGTTGCAACTTTTTCCACTTTTCGGCGATTCGATTTTTCGATTTTTCAATTTTTCGAATTTTTAAATTTTCGATATTTCAGCTTTGGGACCTTTCAATATTTCCAATTTCTAAATTTTAAATATTTCGATATTCTATTTTTTTGATGTTTCTATTTCTCGATCTTTCGATTTGTCTTCTCAGTTTTAGATTTTTCAATTTTTTGTTTTTGGATTTTTAAAATTCCTCGGTTTTTAAATTTTTAAATTTTTCGATTCATTGATTTCTCGAGATTTCGATGTTTCGATTTTTACACTGTTTAATTTCCCGATTTTTTTTTTTCGATTTTTTATGACCAATTTTTAAAATTTTCGATTTTCCAATTTTTCAAGTTTATGATTAATCAGGTTTTCGATTTTTTAATTTTTGATTTTTTTTAATTTTGGATTTATCGACTTTTCGGTTTATAGATTTCCCAATTTTTCGATGTTATAGTTTTGGGATTTTTTTCACTTTTTCGATTTATCAATTTTTCGATATTTCAATTTTGGGATTTTTCAATAAAATATGTATTTCGAGTTTTTAAATTTTAGGTTTCCGATTTTAAATTTTTCGGTTTTTCGATATTTTGATGTTTCGATTTCCCTATTTTTCACTCTTTCCATTCTTCAATTTTCCTATTTATCAGTTTTTACAATTTTAAATTTTAATTGCGATTTCACAATTTTTCAATTTTTCGACTTCTCGGTTTTAGATTTTTCAGTTTTTTGATTAAAAACATTTTTTTTTTGGATTATTCGAATTTTCAATTTTTCGGTTTTGAAATGTTTCAATTTTTCGAGTGTTCAATGAATAATTGATTTTCCGATTTTTGATTTTTTAAATTTTGATGTTCAGTTTTTAGATTTCTCAATTTTCGCCTTTACAGTTTTAGATTTTTAAAATTTTTGATTTTTAGATTATTTCATTTTTCGGTTTTTAAATTTTTTAATTTTTCGGTTTCTAGATTTATCGAGATTTCGATGTCTCCATTTTTTATTTTTTCAATTTTTCCATTTATAGTTTTTTGAAAATTTTCGATTTTTCAATTTTACGATTTATCGGGTATCGATTTTTCAATTACATATTCGATTTTTCGACTTTTCCATTTATTTAAGTTTTGTAATTTTTCAGTATATATTTCGATTTGTTAAATTTTAGATTTTTGTCTTTAAATTTTTCGCTTTTTGGATTTTTTGAAGTTTCGATTTCCCCATTTTCAATCTTTCAATTCTTCAATTTTTCAATATCTTATATTTTTCGATTTCTCAATTTTTCAATTTTTCGATGTTTCTATTTGTCAATTATTCCAGTCTTTAAAATTTTTGATTTTTCGATTTTTAAAATTTTTCGGTTTTAAATTTTTCGGTTTCTCGATTTATCGAAATTTCGATGTCTCGAATTCCCCAAGAATTTTTCAATTTCTCTCTCAATTTGGAATTTTCTTTTTTTCAGTTTTCCCATTTATCGATTTTTAAAATTTTTCGATTTTCCAATTTTTCAGTTTTACGATTCATCGGATTTTCGGTTTTTTAATTTTTTAATTCTTCGATTTCTCAATTTCTCTATCTTTTCATGTTTCAATTTGTCGATGTTTCAACTATTTCCACTTTTCGGTGATGCGATTTCTCGATTTTGCAATTTTTTTAATTTTTAGATTTTCGATTTTTCGATCTATCGATTTTTCGTCTTTCCAATTTTAGATTTTTCAATTTTTTGTTTTTCGATTTTCGAAATTTCTCGATTTTTAAATTTTTCAATTTTTCGGTTACTTGATTTATCGAAATTTCGATTTTTTCACTGTTTAATTTCCCGATTTTTCGATTTTTTTTGCTTTTTCCATGATCAATTTTTAAAATTTTTCGATTTTCCAATTTTTCAAGTTTACGATTTTTAAAAATTTTTGATTTTTCGACTTTTCGATTTATCGATTTCCCAATTTTTCAATGTTTTAGTTTTAAGATATTTTCACTTTTTCGATTTATCAATTTTTCGATTTCAATTTTGGAATTTTTAAATTTTATATTTTCGATTTAAAATTTTTCGGTTTTTCGACTTTTTGATGTTTCGATTCTTCAATTTTTCGTTATTTTAGATTTTTCGATTTCTCGATTTTTCATTTTTTCGATTTTTCTATTTATCAAATTTTCCAACTTTCTTAATTTTAGATTTTTCAGTTTTTTGATTTTAAAGTAATTTTTTTTGGATTATTCATCGATTTCTCGATTTATCAAGAATTCGATGTCTCGATTTTTCGAATATTCTTTTGTCAGTTGTTCAATTATTCGATGTCTCGATTTTTCGAGTATTCATTTATCAGTTATTCAATTTTTCAATTTTTCGATTTTTTAAATTTTGATTTTTTGTTACTTTTCGATTTCTCAATTTTTCAATGTTCAGCTTTGAGATCTCTCAATTTTTCAATTTTGCAGTTTTAGATTTTTAAAATTTTTGGTTTTTCAGTTTTTTCATTTTTACGATTTGTCAGATTTTCGATTTTTTAGATTTTCGATTTTTCGACTGTTCGATTTATCGATTTATCGATTTCTCAATTTTTCAATGTTTCTGTTTTAAGATTTTGCAATTTTTCGATTTAGCAGTTTAGCAAATTTTTCGATAGTTTAGTCTTGGAATTTTTCAATATACATATGTATATATATTTCGATTCGTTAAATTTTAGATTTTTGACTTAGAATTTTTCGTTTTTTCGATTTTTTGATGTATCGATTTCCCCATTGTCCAATTTCTCTATTTTTGGATTTTTCATTTTTTCTGCTTTTCCATTTATCGACTTTGAAAATGTTTTCATTTTCGAATTTTTCAATTTTACAATTTATCGGATTTTTTATTTTTGAATTTTTCAATTTTTAATTTTTCGATTTCTAGATTTTTCGAATTCTCGACGTTTCAACTTTTTCCATTTTTCGGCGTTTCTTTTTTTCGATTTTCCAATTTTTCCATGTTTCAATTTTTCAACTTTTCTAGGTTTCAGTTTGGGGATTTTTAATTTCACCACTTTTCGTTTTTTTGAAGTTTTCAATTTCTCAATTTTTCAATATTTCAATTTTTAAATTTCAGATTTTACAACATTGTATTCGACTTTTTTATATTTCTAATAACTAATAAGACATCGAGAAATGCGCGCTTAGTGACTCACCCTGTATATTTTTTCCAAGAAGTGTCAAAGTTTCTAGAATTGGATCACCTTTTCTCTGTCCATCTTGACAAAAAAAAATAAATAAATAAATTTGAACAAAAAGCTTTCTAATCACAGTAATGTTTGATTAGACCACCAGCAATACACCTAGGAATGTTGGAAATATAAGTCGGAAATCATTATCATTGTAAATTACTTCCTCCCACTGACACTGGTGAGATGAGAGACTTTTCTTTCTGTCAATTACAGAAGTCAGTATATAACCAAAATTTTCAAATTTAAATCGTAATCGCTATACAGTATTACACAAAGTGGCTCTTTAAGATCGAGTCCTGTGTTTAACCTTACCTTAAACAATATAAAAACAATAGAAAAATCAAGATATGCTGACCTGCAATTCAACCAATAGAAACGGTGAAATGCAAATAATGCAGCTTGTGTAATGTTTTTGCTTGACTATTTTTATTTGAGCAAAATTATGAAGCCAAAAATCGCTTATTATATAACCAGAATTTAAAATTTCAAAATTTTCAATAAATCAAAAAAAAAGTGAGATTTCGTGACTTTGCACATTTCGATCGTAATTTAATGCTTAATAATTTATTTCTCCTGCTCGTTATTATTCCTCATTAACAATTCTGCATTATCATCACCATAAAGAAAACCTCTGCATACAACTAAGTAGCAGTTTTTTGCTACAGTTATAACATACATATGAAGAAAATAATTTGATAGATTTTAGTTTTCTTTAAAAAAGCGCCAAATCTGCTTGGCATTTTGGAGAAGAAGTCAAAAATACCACATTTTTTAATTCATCCATTGTGTAATATCTGACAAGTATGACACTGTTTTGACATAAATTGGCATTATACCAACATTAACCAAAAATATTTTTTTTATTTTGACATTTTTCCAATATCTTTGAATCAATTTAGCCTCGTTTCGTCAAAACATTTACACTCCCATCCAATATCTCCAAACCGCCCAAAACAACAGCGCGCTCTCCAGAAATCAATCACAGGCTATTTACACCACCTTATCTAGCAAAATCCCCATCACTATTTAGCAACCCATTAATTTACGACACTCCGTCCACAGGCCGCAATAAATTGATCAATCAAGATTAAGACGCATCACATGTAATTAATTAAACCCAAAAAAGCCCATAAACAACCAATTAATATCCCAGCGACAACAATCGCGTGATCATGCCGCCGCAGGGGTGGGGGACCGGTGCGTGACGTCACATGACGTAGTGGAGGTAAGTCAAAGGCGGGTAAAAATCGTGAATAGTGTGCGCTGAAAAGCCGTCGTTACCACACGTGTGCGACAACTCTACACCCGGCGAGCGCGAACAAAACAAAAACGTGACTGAGTGACAGAACATTTTTATATTTTCTTACAAAAAAAAAAAAAAACTGACAGTATTTAGTGAGATGGCTTCGGCGAAGACGCGAAAATGGTCAGGTGAGTGCCTTTTTTTGTTTCTGTGGCGATGGCCGCCGGAGGGAGGGTGAAAATCGCGTACTCTCCTTTTTTGGGCGAAAATAGCGCGTCTTGGGCGTGATATAACGGGGATTTTCGTGTCGCAACGGAGGAGCCGGTTTTATTTTAGCTGTTTTCTTGGGTTGCTTAAGTGATTTAAGCGACTTAAGTGCAATAATTTTCGTTATAGGAGAGCTGTGGGACGATGTTATTTCCGGGTCTTCTCGCCGGGGTTATTTTTGGCGGTGGGTGTGCAGCGCAGCCTTGACTTAAGTCTGATTTTAAAAAAAGTCGTTAGAGTGTGTAATTGAGTACGTGCGGACTGTAATTTATTTTTTTTGCTTTGTGTGATTGTTGTTTTTGAGTATCTGAAAAACATGTAATTGTGTTATACTGTGAAACTAGTTGAGCTTTTTATTTTTATTGTCAATATTGTTGTTTATTTTATGACAGAAAATTACTCATGTTAAAATTATAATTAAGTTATGTAACACAATAAATGCCTTTCTAAATTATAAAAAAGATTTTGAAAATACCAATAAATAGTGTTTTTGACCTAAAACAAATAAAATTTACTACACAAAGATGTATCCAAAAGCTCAAACTTGTTGGCATTAAATAATATACTCTTTGTGTATTCTTTGAAGGTACAATAAAGCACCTTTCTGTGACAACTGTCACTTTTAAAGCTTTCAACTCGCAGTTCGTGGAACTAAAACTATTGTCGTTGCTGTGGCACAATACCTGAGTAAATCATGCTTGACTTTTCCACAATATTTTAAAAGGTTTCATGTGACCACCAAAAATGTAACTTTTGAACACAATAATACATTTGATTTTAATTTTAAAATTAAGTATGAACAATCAAGAAGAAATTGTTGTAACACCCTGTATAAACATATCCAGTTTGTTAATGACAAGTGTGGTAAAAAGTGGTGTTCTAGAGACAGACGGACCACAATAATAACAACCCGTTAGAAAACTCTGACCATTTATCTACCATTAATTACAACCTTGTGTAACGAACTAATTTGAAGCAGATTTTCGATTAATTTCCATTTTATGAGTTTTATTAAATGCAGAATTTCCTTAAAAAAGCAAATATCGTCGGGTTGGCAAGACTGTTTAACCCCAACATTTGTCAATTTGACAAATGAAGCACCAATAAACAGAAGGCGGATTACCAACGACTTTGTTTGTGTAGATAGTTCATGTAGGCAATAGAATTAAAAAGAATTGAGACTAGGTATAATTTTAATCCTTCAGCATCCTACAAGAACAAGTTTGCTTAGATTTACACTCCTGTATTGTGCTTAATACGATAATAAAATTTTATTAATCTCAAAAAATAAGGTCTTTGCCATAAAATAATTGACATTTATTTCGTTTCACAAGAGTTACGTTATTACTTTGGAGGTAGTGTTGCAAAACACCTGACCTGTTTAGACCACTTTTCCACCCAGGTCGAAACTCAAAAATTTTAAAACTTAGAATTAATTAGCTTTGTAATTTAACCTCCTGACTCTGTTATCTTTTCAGCTGGACACTCCTCTTAAAAATAACCATTGGGAAAAATTTTGTTGATATAATAAGTGAAATAAAAAGAGTATTCCCAGAATTAAAACTATGGGGTTATTATTTCTTTATTTGTTTTCATACTTATTTTATCAGAACTCGGTTATCAGGAAAAAACACTGGGATTCTGCAGTGTTGTGTTGTGTGATTAAGAGCAGCTGGGACATTCCCACCGTGTGTTTGCCGCTTTCCTATTCTTTGAACTGAACTCTTTCCAGCTATTGTTGCCGGCTCCTTTTTTGCGTTAATTTCTCCAATTATCGCCTCAGTGTAATTGTTTCTCGAAAAAATTAATTAGACAAAAGCTGCATTTACGCAGTACAAAATTTCTCAAAATACTCCCATCTATTTTTGTCGCGTTGATTTCAAACCCGAAAATTTTTAAAACTGAGTGATAATTTTAGCTAGAAATGAGTATTGTCACGAGTTTAGTACTTGTTATGCGGTCGAAAAATTTCGAAGGTCGGTAATCCAACAATTAGCATTTTTAAATGCAGTTCAGTTGTTTGTAATTTGCATGGAATTATTATTCCGTTACCCAATAACCACGATTTTGTAATTGCGAAAGGTCACATTAAGCCGACTTTACAAAGGTACGACATGTCGGACATAGTTCAGATAATGCGTATTATTAATGGTCGTTTTTATCTTTTGGTGATTCCTTATCACATCAGTTTTTAAATTAGTTTTTTTTGTAAAGTCATAGTGAGTGCACTTTTTTGTGGGTTCTTCAGTGGTTTATCTTTTATCGGGCTATTAAACGTAATTGCGGAGATAAGTGATCTGAATACGTTTTATCGCGATGTTTAAGAACGTATTAAAATTTCTGCTTTTTAAACGCTCTAGATCAATTTGTGTAATTTTGTTTTTATCTTTTCTTCCTTTTCGCACTAAAACTCCTCTTCGTACGCTTCTAGCTAAATCTCGTCACCTTAAGGTACCTTTCAAACAATTTTTTCTTTGCTCATCTAACACAACTCAAGTTTGTCCTTCTTGTTCTTTATTTTGAATTTTAATTCCTACTATTATTCCTAAGACTATTTCTAGAACGGTCATATTAAAACTTCAGCATTCGAAAATCTCTTCTTTCTTACAAAAAACTCTTCAATTTCTTCTTTTCACTCTGGAGTTATAAGACTCTTAACCCCTATAACACAACGTTCATTTTCGGACCACAACATTCGAAAAAGTTCTTCTCTCTCACTCAAGAAACTCTTCAATTTCTTCTTTTTACTCTAGATTTGTAGCACATTCTTTGCCCCTCTAACACAACTCTCATTTTCGGAACTCAACATTCTAAAGAAACGCTTCTCTCTCATAAGAAACTCTTACACCCTTCAATTTCTTCTTTTCGCTCTAGATCTATAATAAACTCTTGACTCCTCTAGCAGAACTCTGTTTTGTTCTTCTTGTTCTTCGCTTTGGTTTATAATTATCTCAGGACGACTTATAGAACGCTCATTTTCGGAACTCAACATTCCAAAAACTCTTCTATCTCAAGAAACTCTTCAATTTTTTTTCATTCTAGATTCCCAAAAACTTTTTGCACCTCTAATACAACTCAGTTTTGTTCTTCTTGTTCTTGTTCTTGTTCTTCATTCTAGTTACTGCGTGACTACTTCTTCTTAAACGCTCATATTAAAACTTCACCAATTTAAAGAACCTCTTCTCTCTCGCAAGAAGCTCTTCAATTTCTTCGTTTCATTCTAGATTTCCAGCACAGTCTTTGCCCCTCTTAACACAACTCTTTTCTTCATTTTGGCTACTCTTTAAAATTACTTAATGACTACTTCTTCTAGAACGTTCATATTAAAATTCCAACATTCGAAAAAGCTCTTCTCTATCACAAGAAAAGCTTCTATTTCTTCTTTCCGCCGCTGATTTTCACCCACTATTGACTCCTTTAAAACAATTCCGTTCTGTTACTTTTGTTCTTATTTTTTTAATTTTTGGATTTGGATTCGAATTCCTGCGTGACTAGATCTTCTTAACTTTCATTTTAAATCTTCAACATTCAAAGGAAATCTTCTCCCACACAACAAACTCTTCGATTTCTTCTTCTCGCTCTAGATTTCTAGCACATTCTTTGCGCCTTCATTTTGCCTATACTATAAAAATACTTAGTGGATATTTTTTCTAAAAGGTTCATATTAAAACTACAAAATTCCAAAGAAACTCTTCTCTCTCATAAGAAACTCATAAACTCTTCAATTTCTTCTTTTCGCTCTAGATCTATAATTATCTCATGACGACTTCTAGAACGCTCATTTTCGGAACTCAACATTCCAAAAAGCTCTTCTCACTCTCAAGAAACTCTTCAACTTTTTCTCTTCACTCTAGATCTATAGCACACTCTTTGCTCCTCTAGCACAGCTCCATTTTGTTCTTCTTCTTGTTCACTTTGGATTCGAATTCCTACGTGACTAGTTCTTCTTGAATGTTCATTTTAAATCTTCAATTTTCCAAGGAAATCTTCTCTCCCACAACAAACTCTCCAATTTCTTCTTCTCGCTCTAGATCTAGAATCCACTCTTAGACAACTTTTTCAAAAATGAAATTTTACATTGTGGTAGTACTTTCCAAATAACCTACCCTTTAAGAAAATAAAAGGCGGGTGGGCCAGGCTAGTATTTGCCAAAATAAGACTCATTTTGACAAATGGCCTACTCTTCTAAGAAAATGTACTAGCCCCGCCCACCCACCCTTAGTTTCTTGGAACAGTAGGTCATCTGCCAAAATCAGTCTTATCTTGGCAAGTATGAGACTGATTTTTGCAAATGACATATCCTCTAAGAAAATAAGGGTCGGTGGGCGGGGCTAGTACTTGTTAAAAATAAAAAAATAAAAAAATGACAAATTGAAAAATCAGATAAATGAGAAATTGGAAAATTGTACAACTGTATAATTGGAAAATCAAAAACTAAAATATCAAAAAATTGAAAAAAAAAATCTTATAAAATCGAATTCGAAATTCCTGTTTTCATTGTTTTTTTCATTTTTAGATTTTTCAACTTTTGATAATTTTTTTGACAATTTTGCAATTCCAATCTTTTGATTTTTCAAGTTTTAACTTTACAATTTTGGAATTTTTTGATTTTTAATTTTTCAAGTTCTGAAGTTAAATTTTTTCCTTTTCACGATTTGTCATTTTTCGATTTTTTACTAAAAGAACAAATTTATTCGAACTGAAATTTTAAAATTCGAAAAATCCAAAAATTGAAAATTAGAAACAAAATTTTCAGATGTTTTAAAGTCACGGTGAACATGGCAATCGCCGATCAAAATTACTTTTTACTCCTTTCCACAAACTCGGTGACAAAAAAATCAAAAATCGAAAATTAAAAAAAATATACATCTATTTTCTCGATGTTTTTAAAAATCAAATAATTGAGAAATCGGAAAACTGC